TGTTTTTTTAAATGTTTTTTTTTAAATTGATTTTTAGAGAGAGAGAGGAAGGGAAAAGGATAGAGAGATAGAAACATCAATGAGCAAGAAGCATCAAGGATTGGCTGCCTCCTGTATGCCCTGCACTGGGGATTGAGCCCACAACCTGGGCATGTGCCCTGACCAGGAACTGAACTGATGACCTCTTGGTTCATGAGCTGATGCTCAATCATTGTGCCAAACCGACCGGCTCACCATGTTTTTAAAGACATGTTTAGAAAGATTTTAACACTTACTGATTATCCTTGAAATAAATCTTGGCAGGACCAGTCTTGGGCTGCAAAATTTCAGGGGTCACTATTCACAAAAACTACAATATGAAAGGCACACCCAGGCGTGCAGAGTAACCAGGACCATTGTCCTTAACAGCCTGGGCTTAGACAGCAAATCTATATTAATAAAAGGGAATATGCAAATTGGTCAGGACACCCTCACACAACAACTGTACAGCAGGCTGCATGGGGTGACCAGGCCAGCAGGGGGGCAGTGAGGGGCAACCAGGCTGGCATGGGGGGCAGTTGGGGTGACCAGGCCAGCAGGGGTGTAGTGAGGGGTGACCAGTCTGGCAGAGGGGCAGTTGGGAGTGACCAGGCAGGTGTGGGGGGAGTTGGGGGAGACCAGGTTGGTAGTGGGGGACAGTTGGAGGCAACCAGGCTGGTAGGGGGGGCTGTTAAGAGCAATCAGGCTGGCAGGGGGGTGCAGTTAGCGGTGACCAGGCTGGCAGGGGGGGTAGTGAGAGGCAACCTAGCTGGCAGCAGGGTCATTTAGGGGCGATCAGGCTGATAGGCAGAGGTGGTTATGTTTGATCAGGCAGGCAGGCAGGTGAGCTCTCACAATCTGGGATAGCTGGCTCCTAACAGCAGTTGGACATCCCCCAAGGGGTCCCGGATTGGAGAGGGTTCAGGCCCAATTTTGTGCACCCAGCCTCTAGTATATAATATTGACAGGACAGTGGTAATGAGGAGGATAACATTCTACCGCACTTTTCTGCATATACATACAAGATTTAACTAGTGTCTCACTGAATCAGTACATTAAACAAGTGAAGTTACTATGGCTCTTCTTTATGCTTTCCACCACCCCATCTTTATTGAGGTACAATTATGAATAGTAATTGTGTATACTTGATATATGTATACGTTGTGAAATTGTGAAATAATTGCCACAATCAAGCTAATAAAGTTGTCCATCACTTGGCAGATACCATTTTCTTGTGTGTTTCTTCGTGTGTGTGTGTGTGTGTGTGTGTGTGTGTGTGTGTGTGTGTGGTGTTTTTGTTTTTATGGTGAGAACATTTAATATCTCCCCTCTTAGCAAATTTCAAGTATACAATACACCATTTTAATTATAGTCATATTGTTGGACATTATTAGATCTCCAAAACGTATTCATCTTTCATAACTGAAACTTTGCACCCCTTTCCCACCATCTCCCTATTTCCCCTTTCTCCAGCCTCTGGCAACTGTCATTCTACTCTCCACTTCTATGACTTTGACTATTTTAGATTCTGGTCTCCTCCATGCTCTTACATATGTTGTTCCCTGTAGCTGAGGCATTCTTTTCCTGCAGCTTCATCTGGCTCAGCTCTATTATTCCTGCCCAACTTGGCTCTGCTGTCATCTTCCTAAGTTCCTTAGTTAGGATGGTTCCTGACCCTCTGAGCCTCATTGCGGTAACACTCTGCAGATAGCTCTACCATGAGGCTTATTGATACACAACATGGGATGTTTACTTGTGTCTCCCTCAAAAGATCTACTCATGTCATCTGAGCATGTTGGAAGTATTCAATATTCACTGAATTTATAGATGAAGTACTGAGGCTACCAGAGTATTTTTCCAAGATCACATGTACAGGAACCAGTTAAACCCCCCGCCTTTAACCTCAAATCCCAAGTTCTTTCACTTTATCATGTTGGAGGTTTCTCTGTCAACCCCCAATTAAAGTCCCAACTACCAAACATTTGTGTGAGTTTGTTTTGAAGCTGGTGTGTAGCTTTATGTGACCAATACATTGAATGGGAATGTAGTCAGAGAACTCATCTTTATTTTTGCCGCCCACTGTCTCTCTTCTTCAGCGAAGACCATCTGTAGGGGAAAACCTTCTTCACCTTGTGCTTCCACCCTTCCCCTTGCTACCAAGGTTCCTGGGTTCTCCAAGGTTTAAAGTGGGGAAAAGGGAAGGAAAAAACAGAACTGGAAAGCAGGGATGACAGGAAGACACTTAACTCAGGTACAAAATTTAAAGTGCTCAGTAAGAAAGGTAAATATTAATGCATATTTAAAAAAATCTCATGCAGAAACTCCAGGATGAACAATACACCAAAAATGTAAATAAAGACAGGCTGTCAGTTTTTTTTTTCTGTTTTTTTTTCTGACCTTGAGTTACTATGTAATGGGAACAGTGTTTCTAATCAGCCTGTCATAGTTCAAGGGCCATCAGATGGTCATCGTGTCCCTTGATGGGTGTGTCTGTGAGAGTTTATAATGGTGTGGGAACAGATTGGGCAGCCAAGGACTTCATATGTAATCATGTTTTTTGATCATAGTGCTTTTACATGTTGGCTCAACATGTGGGTGAATTTTTCAAAGGATATATAGGGGCACAGATTTTTCCTATGGCCTCAGGCTTCACTCTGGCTTGCATGGCACTAAAGGAGCATGTTTATTTTACTGGTTCATCTGGAAGATGGCTTTACAGCTCCAGGTCTGGCAGCTGTTTAAAGCGGACTTTATTTCTCTTGGGACTCGTTGGGTTCCTTAGAGGCAGTCCCTGGGGACATTTCATGTAACACGGGAGAAGTGTGTCCTCCCTGCTGGCCAGTCTCTCTCGTCTCTCAGAGGTCAGTTCCACACAGACTCGGGTCTTCTCCTGTCCTTCATTCCTTCACCTCTAGGGCAGGACTTAAAATGGTTCCAGGCTGGCTTTCTACTGAGGAGGGCCACAGGGGTGTTGAAAACGCTCGAGCATCTCTGGCTCTGAAACACTCGGGAGCTCAGGTCTCTTGGAGCAACCCCCACCCTCCCCCACCCCCTACCCTCTGCCACCTGCCCCTTATCTCCCTGCTGGACCTAATGCTCTGGCTTTAGGGTTTTCCAGGAGGGAGCCAGACGCAGTCCATGGTGTGTTTTCTTTCCTCCCTGATATAAAAGGAGAAGAACTCCCTCCCCCCCCCCCCCCCACACACACACACTCCCTTCTCCTGCGGGGGTGGGAGAATCACAGCACAGTTTTGTGCAAGTCAAATTTGCCACAAATTCTTCTCCTTTTCCAACAATTTGCTCCCTTACACTCTCAATGTAGTAATGGCTTTTAAGAGCCATACTATCAGTAGGAAGGGAGAGAAGGAGGGAGGGTAGGGCAGACGGGATGTGGGCATGGTTGAGAGAAAGCATCCTGAAGTGGAGTTGCTTGTATTGTGTAAGGACTAGTTAAAGTTGATGGCATGTGAAATAAAATTTCTGATCCTTTCGTGGGGAGGGTGAAGTTGTTTTAATCTGGACTTCAGATTTATGATATTCCTGAGAAGCCTCATGTTGAGACTAAAAGCTCTCTTACGGAGTTGGGTAAGACATGCAGCCCTTGCATTTTGAATGTGCATATTTATGTAATTGGTTTGTTATATGTAAACATGCAAAATAAATCAATAACTTTTGTAAAGAAAAAAATGTTAGTCAGGTCAGAGCAGTAAAGGAGAAGAAATTGAACATTGAAAAGGAGAGGCCAAAGGGTGTGTTTGTGTATCTGCACTGCTCTAAGGCACAATCTCAGAGGTGCCCTTGTGTGTGTGTGTGTGTGTGTGTGTGTGTGTGTGTGTGTGTGTGTGAGGTTGCAGTGAAAAGGCCAATTTGTGCTCATTCACTTCCCTCCTGGGGTTCCTCCAAAAACCCATGACCCTATTTCCAAATAATGCATCAGCCAAACAGACTGTTTACCTCTGCCTGCTCTTCACCTTGCAGCCACTCTCATCTGTCTCCCCCTGATTTTATGATTGTCCTCGATGCTCGTTCTCTGCCTGGCCAGGGCTTCTTTCACTCCTGCCCCTGCAAGGGTGTCAGCTCCTCATTTGCTTAGTCAGCGGTACTTGGTGTGGAGACCATCTCTGCATCAGCTCCCAAGATGTCTTCCCAGAACAGTGAGATTTCTTCACATCACAAATGGTGATCCCACACCTCATCCCTATCCTCAGCATAGAATTATTTGGTTGTTTTAATTTTAATTTTTTGCATTCAAAGATACAATCTTGGTATTAATCTCTTAGCCCCCTTCCACCCCCTCCCCCCCTTTTGGGAAAAGTAACCAGGAATATAGACAATGGGGCAATTGCAGAGGAATTCCATCTCAGAGAACCAGGCTCCAGTAAAACCAGTACCACCAATTAGCTGCATAAGCTTGGAAAAGTGGTTTTCTGAGTTTAAAACAATCGCCGGACTAGTACTAGGTGCTCTGTGAGATATGTCCCACTTGGATTCCATCAAGCCTAGAGGAAGACAGGGGGTGGCACTATTGATATTGTTGATATTGAGCAAAAGCAGTACTAATTACCTCCTCTCTCTCTCTCTATCTCTCTCTCTCTCTCACACACACACACACACAAACACACTGAATGGGAACATTTCAGTTAAAGGAGATCAGCAGTGGGTGTAAGGTTAGCATTCGCCATAAATGTTTTGATAATTGTACACTTGTAATTAAATTCTGCTTGAGAAGATTGGTTCTCACGGTGCAACTTGAGAACTTCCTTCGTTGCTTATTCAACTCCAAAGCTGAGTGGGTCTCTATGTCCTCCTAGCCACCAATTTAGTACGATGATACCACTGAGAGGTGGTCTCGTCTACCTGACCTCTAACCAATATCTAGTGATCTGTATTTTTTGAAGGGGAAAAAAAAAGGTACAAAAATCTGTTAATATTTAGGTTTTCAAGAATATCTTCTCATCTAAAAGAGAGCTAATTAGCTCGTGGCTGCGTTCTCCGTTGCCGAGATGGTGCTCGACCCAGCAGAGCAGCATTTCAGACATGTTGAAAAAGATGTTTTGATCCCTAAAATAATGAGAGAAAAGGCCCGAGAGAGGTGTTCTGAACAAGTTCAAGATTTTACCAAATGTTGCAAGAAATCTGGAATGCTTATGGTAGTAAAATGCCGGAAAGAAAATTCTGCATTAAAAGAATGTCTAACCGCTTACTATACTGATCCTGCCTTTTATGAAGAATATAAAATGGAATACCTGAAAGAAAGGGAAGAATTCAGAAAAACTGGAATTCCTACCAAGAAAAGGCTACAGAAGCTTCCAACAAGCATGTAGGCAAATACTCAATGATACTAACTCTATTCATGGAAATCACAATTACCTAAGATAATGGACTCAAGGAATTGTGTTTGCTTATCCTAAATTATGGAAATATTAATTTTATCTGAAATGAAGTTTTTTTAAAATATAAAAAAAATAAAAGAGAGCTAATTACATTGTTTTTCTTCTAGGGGGTAGTTGGCTCTGGATTTCTAGTGTTGTGTGTGCGTGCATATGTGTGTGTACCTGTCTCCAATAAAGTAACAATTCCAGTTTGGCAACCCCTTAATTGCAGGGATTGTTAAAAAGATTATTATGCAAGTTATTGCAGAGAACTCAGCACCCTATAAAGTCATGTGGCAGGAACTAGGGATTTCTCAACTTACCACATTAACCTTGCAATAAACCAGCAGGCCAGGAGGACCACCTGGAGGGTGCATTGGTAGGGTCTTCTCAAGAAACCTTTTTGTTGTGGAGGGATGTTGGGCAAATCACAGTCACTTGGTTAACTCCTTATCTTACTCTTTGGTTTTTCTCATTTTATTTATCTCATTGTTTTCTAATTTCATACTGAATTTAGAAAGTTTGTAAAATGCATATAGTATGAAGAAGTAGAAATAAATGAATTAAAAGCTTATCTCCCAGTACGACCCCTATCAACCTCAAGAAATATTCCCTTCCAGTCTCTTGACTCATGCGTTAAATACATATTTATCCCCTGCTTTTACACTTAATATTATACGACAGGCATTCCCCCCCCCCCCCCTTAATTACTTGTAACCATCATTTTCATTGGCTACCAAGAGTTTTATTTATGGAATCTGCCAAAACAGCCCTCTATTATTAGACATCAAGTCAAAGTCAATTTTTCAATTGTACAAAAATACCATATTGATCATCTTATCAAAATATTTGTGTGTATTTTGGATTATTCTTGAATACAGGTTACTAAAGGTGGAATTACAGAGTCAGAAAGTAGAAACCGTTAAAGCCCCTCTAAACACATTGCAGAATTGCTGTTCAGAAAGATTGTGTTAATTTTTTTATTTCTACCATAAGCAATACATGGAAGGAACCATTTTTTTTTAATCAATCTTTATTGTTCATATTGTTACAAAGGTTCCTCATTTTTCCCCCCCTCCACCAGGTTCCCACCCCACCCTCCGCCCCTTCCCCATCCCCCATTGTCCTCATTTATAGGTGCAGTTTATGTTCAGTCTCTTCCTCCCTCCCTTTCCCCGATAGTAAATCCCTTTTCAGATAGTAAATCAGTTACTTAGCATTTTCTCATATCAATAATACCACCACATGCCCAATGATACATTTCACACAAAAGACATTTCCAAATAGGTCAACCAGCCTCATCCAGGCCCCACCCAAGGCACTCACAGATCAACACCCCAGCCCTATACTAACTCAACACATCCAGATCTAAGCCTTCACTTGATTCAGCAGACCCTCAAGTTCCCACAAAAGTTTCCAGCCATGTCTGAGAGGCAGCCGTGGGGCAGGGGCAGGCGAGAAGCGAGCTGTTCCAGGCCTGGCCGCTCCTAGCCTGGCAGCCACTGCTCCGGGCCTGGCCGCACCAGACCCGGCTGCTCCGGGCCTGGCCGCTCCCAGCCTGGCAGCCGCTGCTCCGGGCCTGGCCGCACCAGACCCGGCTGCTCCGGGCCTGGCCGCTCCCAGCCTGGCAGCCGCTGCTCCGGGCCTGGCCGCACGAGACCCGGCTGCTCCGGGCCTGGCCGCTCCCAGCCTGGCAGCCGCTGCTCCGGGCCTGGCCGCACCAGACCCGGCTGCTCCGGGCCTGGCCGCTCCCAGCCTGGCAGCTGCTGCTCCCGGCCTGGCCGCACCAGACCCGGCTGCTCCGGGTCTGGCCGCTCCCAGCCTGGCAGCTGCTGCTCCCGGCCTGGCCGCACCAGACCCGGCTGCTCCGGGCCTGGCCGCTCCCAGCCTGGCAGCTGCTGCTCCGGGCCTGGCCGCTCCCAGCCTGGCAGCCGCTGCTTTGGGCCTGGCCGCACCAGACCCGGCTGCTCCGGGCCTGGCCGCTCCCAGCCTGGCAGCTGCTGCTTTGGGCCTGGCTGCACCAGACCCGGCTGCTCCGGGCCTGGCCGCTCCCAGCCTGGCAGCCGCTGCTCCGGGCCTGGCCGCACCAGATCCGGCTGCTCCGGGCCTGGCCGCTCCCAGCCTGGCAGCTGCTGCTCCGGGCTCGGCCGCTCCGAGTCTGGCCGCTCCCAGCCTGGATGCTCCGGGCTTGGCTACTGCTGTTCTGGACCTGGCTGCCCCCAACCCGGCTGCTCTGGGCCCGGCTTCTCCGGGTCTGGCCACTCCTGGTCTGGGTATTCCTGGACTGGCCACCCTGGGCTTGGCTGCCTCTGTCTCAGGCCTGGCTGCCACTGCCCCAGGTCTGGCTGCTCCAGTGCTGGCTGTTGTTGCTCTGGTTCTGGCTGCTGCTGCTCTGGGGCCTGGTCGTTGCTGCTCCAGGCCCGGTTGCCATTGCTTTGTGCCTGGGCACTCTAGGCCTGGCCGCCGCTGTTGGAAGGAACCATTTTTACCACACTTTCATCAGTTGGGGTATTCATATTGTGATACATATCTTTGTTAAATTAATAGGAAAGTATAAAATACCATATATTTGTAGTTTTAATTCTATTATTTGATTTCTGTGAAGTTGATAATTTTTTCTTGTTCTTATGTCTTTTTTTAAGTTGATCATCGTACTGAAAGTTTATCATTCAATTGCATGTGCCTTAAATCAATTCATATTCTTTAGCCATTGTCTATTGTAAATCTAGATGATTTTTATTTATTCATTTTCACAAGTTTACTTACTTTTTAGTCCATAATGTTTTAGTACTTTTCTAAAATGATTGTATTTCAAACCAAACTTTATCTTTTTTATGAATAGAAGTTTAAATATTGGTTGCAGTTCAACTTTCCATCTGTTTTCTTTTCTTTTTAAACTTAGAAAGTTATCTTCACTCCAGAGACTTTTTAACATGTTACTTCTCTTTTCTTTTATTGGATATACATGAATTATTTTAAATGTAACACACACACACGCACATACATGCCCCCCCCCCCCCCCAAGTCTGAGGATATATCCATTAGCTCAAAGAAAGCAAAAGTAATGATTCATAATAGGGTAAGCTATCCTTTATTAGGAACCAGTTGGACTGAAAGTTTAAATAAGTGTGTTCAAAAGAAACACGATGTGTACACATATATAATACCTTAATAATAATAAAAAAGAAACACATGTGCCTTGATGAGCTGCTGCTGATGAGTGGGGTGCCTGGAAAGAGGTGTTAGGAAATTCTCCTCTCTACTGGGAAGACGACTTTCACACTGAAATGGACGCCTCCTCACGTTCTCCATCCTCTTATTTCTCCAAATTTCTAAAAGAAACTTGTAGCAATTGTGGATTCAAGAAATAATAACTTAAGACTTTTCCTAAGATTGGCAGATAGCTATGGGTTGCAGCATGCACAGTTCCTCATTTTCACGGAACTGAGAGAAATGAAAGAGTTTGAGAACTGGAGGAACGCTGACCGGGGCTATCCAGGAGTCTCATGACTTCTCCCTATAAAACACAGAAGCAGGTAAATGTAGAACCCAAGTCTCAGGGCCCCAAACATGAGCCTTGTGGAGATGGGAAGCCCAGGTCAGAAGTTGAAATTCCCCTTTTGAAAATAAACTAGGAATACCAGAGTTAGATTAAGCATTCATACAGTTTGAAATTCAGCATGAGAAAGGCAGATACTGGTACTTGATATAATTTTATCTACATGGTGGGTGAGCTTATTTTTATTTTTACCATTGTGGATTATTTAAATTTTGTATTAGTTAGCAATGCGGCAAGCACATCTGTTTTTTAGTTGAAAAGATAATGTATGTCCTCATAAGTCTTTCTCACATGGAAAATGCCCAAGCAATTGATCTAACAGCTACTACCCAGAGTTTATTTCTTAACCTCTCTGAACTGCAAGAGGAACTACTCCGTTTGTAAAGAACTGGCTTTGTAAACCTGTTCTGATAAAGTGACCACAGATTTCACAAATCAGCAATTGTGTCCTGTGTGAGCATGTTTGTCAAGAGTTCCTGTGTAACCTGGGATCTAATTCTGTCTCCAAAGAATTGGGCAAAATACCCAGCTCTTGACATGCCTGTCTCTTCAGCTTTAATGTTAGACTTTGACTAAATCTCAAGTTGCTTTTAGCTTTAAAATTTGGATGTTTTTTAAATCCTGCGATTAGGAGAAACCTAAAAGCATAGTTTTTCTTGCTGTTCTTTAGCTATATGAAAACACATTTCAGGAGAGGCATAGAGAGCAGCCTAGAACTTTAGCTGATTAGGAGTTCTAGAAACACAAACTAATTTTGTTTTTTAAAGTAGCTTTAATTGCCTAAGCAACGTGACTAGGCTGTCTTTGAGTTTTCTTAGTTTCTCTTTTAAAAACTTTTCATTTTCCCCCCCGTTATCTTTTTTAAATTAATCTTTTTTTATTTTTTATTTTATTGATTTTTTTACAGAAAGGAAGGAGAGGGATAGAGAGTTAGAAACATCAATGATAGAGAATTATCGATTAGCTGCCTCCTGTACACCCCCCCCCCCCCCCCCACTGGGGATGTGCCCACAACCAAGGTATATGCCCTAGACCGGAATTGAACCCAGGACCCTTCAGTCCGCAGGCCAACGCTCTATCCTCTGAGCCAAACCGGTTTTGGCAAAATTAATCTTGGTATATATTATATATACCGTATTCAATTAAGTTAAAACATTTGTGAATAAAGAATTAAAACATTGCAAATAGTAAACCACAGGTATCTCAATATATTGGAACACCTTCCTGTACTAAAATCCTACTGGCCAAATGACTGAGGCACTACCGTCACCTGGTGGCACATTGTCTAATTACAGGAAAAGTATCGAAAGAAAAGTCAGGTTTTTTAAGTGAAATTAAAAAGTGACAACAAATATTATAGTTTTCTTTTTAAAATATATTATTGATTTTTTTGTACAGAGAGGAAGGGAAAGAGATAGAGTTAGAAATATTGATGAGAGAGAGTCATCAATCAGCTGCCTCTTGCACCCCCCCCCCCCCCACCCACTGGGGATATGCTCACAACCAAGGTACATGCCCTTGACCGGAA